GATGGCTGTTGAATATGAAAATTGCAAGGTATTTACAATGTCTTTGAGATGATCCTTCTTTCTGTTATATAGGTTGGATCCAGGATATTGACCTACATTTATTCCAAATGGCCAATGCTCTTTATGCAGCTTCTTCTGGTTGATAAGAAGATAACAAATGCCAGGAATTTAGTTAGCATCTTGGAAGATGCTATCAGGGGAGGATATCCAGTATTAATAATTGCTGAAGACATTGAGCAGGAAGCTCTAGCAACCCTTGTTGTGAATAAGCTGAGAGGATCTTTGAAAATTGCTGCACTCAAGGCCCCTGGATTTGGAGAACGCAAAGGCCAATACCTTGATGACATTGCTATTCTCACTGGAGGTTGTCTACCATCTACTGATTGGAGATATGTACTATGTGTCAACAATGTAAGTTAACCTTGCAGCAACTTGTCCTTGGAAATGTGTTCAGGTACCGTTATAAGGGAGGAGGTTGGTTTATCCCTGAATACGGCTGGAAGTGAGGTATTGGGACTTGCTGCAAAAGTGGTACTGACCAAGGATACAACAACAGTTGTTGGTGATGGGAGCACACAAGAGGCAGTAAATAAAAGAGTTGCCCAGATCAGAAACCTTGTTGAGGTGTGATTTTGTGTTGTGTGTATTTTTTATTTTTGGCTCATGATTTTATTTGGTTAAATCCTCTGTGCATCAAACATTCTATAATATTGGTCTGTCATGCAGAGTGCTGAACAGGATTTTGAAAAGGAAAAGTTAAATGAAAGAATTGCAAAACTCTCAGGTGGTGTTGCTGTTATTCAGGTGATTCCTTGGTTATGTACCATGTCGTTGTGGTCGATTACTGCAGTCCAGAAGATTATTTTTCTAATAACCTTATCCTGGTATATTTGTTTTCAGGTAGGTGCACAAACTGAAACTGAGCTTAAAGAAAAGAAACTGCGAGTAGAAGATGCCCTCAATGCAACAAAGGTGAACTTTCATTCTGACTTACTACTTGGACTTTGGAATTCTTCCTGAATTCATTAATAGTAAATCTTTGCCAGTCAATCCGTTAATTCGTAATTTTTGGTTGCTACAGGCAGCTGTTGAGGAAGGCATTGTGGTTGGTGGTGGGTGTACCCTGTTGCGGCTTGCAGCAAAAGTTGATGCCATAAAGGATACTTTAGATAACGACGAGCAGAAGGTAATGCGGGCTCATATTTTCTTGGTCTAGACTATATCCAAGGAAGATGCAATGCTTGATTGTGTAATTGCTAAATAAGGATTGATTATTTGAATGGCTGCAGGTTGGAGCAGATATTGTTAAGAGAGCATTGAGTTATCCAATGAAGTTAATTGCTAAGAATGCAGGGGTGAATGGAAGTGTTGTTATAGAGAAGGTAAGGCTTGACTCAGATGCTCTTGTGGCATGTTCAGAATTATCTTTTTGCGAGTTTTTATCTGAATCATGTTGATTGACATCTGCTCTTTGTTTAGGTGTTGGCAAATGATAATTCCAAGTTTGGTTACAATGCTGCAACTGGAAAATACGAGGATCTAATGGCTGCCGGCATAATTGATCCCACAAAGGCAAGTTCCTTTACTGCTTCATTTTGTTTCTAGACGTTAGAGCAGTAGGAATATTGATTAGTATGGACCTATTAAGTTATTTATTATTTAGCACGTTAAGCCTGTTGCTTAAGAAACATAAAATCACGTTTGGAAGCAGGTTGTAAGATGTTGCCTGGAGCATGCAGCATCCGTGGCAAGGACATTCCTCACATCTGATGCTGTAGTAGTCGACATCAAGGAACCTGAACCCATACCTGCTGGAAATCCCATGGGCAATTCAGGTAGTTACCATTTCTTATTGTCCAAACTTCTCAAGAATAAATCTAAATTTGTACTAAATGATTTCCAATTATTGCTTTGATCAGGTTATGGTTACTAGTTGCTGCAGCATCTGTGGGAATTGAAACAGTTGGATGATAAAATCCCACAATGTCTTTTTCACCGGCTTGATTTAATTTATGTTTCGAGGGGTCATAAAAAATGTTGGCAGTTTTCAGTATTGGGAATGCTTAGTTGATTTTGAATAGAATCCTGAGATGTCGTAGCCTTCGTATTTTTCTTGCAGTAGTTGTCGTCACTGGCAAAATCTAGCTAGTGGTACGATAAGAGCAAAGGTGCGGGGCGAATAATTTTATTGTCTCTGTATTTCTGTATCTGTAAGTTGCACTGGAAAATGATTGTTGTCAATAAATGGGAATAATTTGCTTGAGAAGAGAGTATATATTGCTACTTGTCCAGTTAATGGCATTACTTGCGAACAAATTTTGATTTTTAAACTTGAAGTTAAAAAGTGACTATGAACACCTTTTAAGCTTAGCCAAACATGCCTATCTACATTATTAAAAATGTCAGCATCATTGCTCCCGGATCTAGAACAAGATCAATAAGCTAAAATCTGTAAAGCAATGATTCTATTTGACGTAGGTTTGTATTTGAACAGTTATGGTGTTTGCATCACATGCATAGGAGCTGTTCTTGATCATCGGTGTACACTCCGCTTCGACGCTTTAAAGATACGATACAACCATACCAGTCTTTTTCATTCAACAATAAAAGTGGATAAGAATCGATGTCGAAATGATCATGTTTAAAAAATTGATTCAAATGATTCAGCACATTGAAATGAAAGTGAAAAACTATGGGATACCAACTGGATTTTTGCTGTTGCGGGTGGTGGGAGCAAAAACCTAAGATTCTGAGCTTAAGGCGTGTAATATTTTATTCAGATATGGTTTGTTTATCCCTCTACCTGCCTCGTTACCTTCGCGTCAAACTTTTTTATGTTGATGCCATAAAGGATACTTTAGATAACGACGAGCAGAAGGTAATGCGGGCTCATATTTTCTTGGTCTAGACTATATCCAAGGAAGATGCAATGCTTGATTGTGTAATTGCTAAATAAGGATTGATTATTTGAATGGCTGCAGGTTGGAGCAGATATTGTTAAGAGAGCATTGAGTTATCCAATGAAGTTAATTGCTAAGAATGCAGGGGTGAATGGAAGTGTTGTTATAGAGAAGGTAAGGCTTGACTCAGATGCTCTTGTGGCATGTTCAGAATTATCTTTTTGCGAGTTTTTATCTGAATCATGTTGATTGACATCTGCTCTTTGTTTAGGTGTTGGCAAATGATAATTCCAAGTTTGGTTACAATGCTGCAACTGGAAAATACGAGGATCTAATGGCTGCCGGCATAATTGATCCCACAAAGGCAAGTTCCTTTACTGCTTCATTTTGTTTCTAGACGTTAGAGCAGTAGGAATATTGATTAGTATGGACCTATTAAGTTATTTATTATTTAGCACGTTAAGCCTGTTGCTTAAGAAACATAAAATCACGTTTGGAAGCAGGTTGTAAGATGTTGCCTGGAGCATGCAGCATCCGTGGCAAGGACATTCCTCACATCTGATGCTGTAGTAGTCGACATCAAGGAACCTGAACCCATACCTGCTGGAAATCCCATGGGCAATTCAGGTAGTTACCATTTCTTATTGTCCAAACTTCTCAAGAATAAATCTAAATTTGTACTAAATGATTTCCAATTATTGCTTTGATCAGGTTATGGTTACTAGTTGCTGCAGCATCTGTGGGAATTGAAACAGTTGGATGATAAAATCCCACAATGTCTTTTTCACCGGCTTGATTTAATTTATGTTTCGAGGGGTCATAAAAAATGTTGGCAGTTTTCAGTATTGGGAATGCTTAGTTGATTTTGAATAGAATCCTGAGATGTCGTAGCCTTCGTATTTTTCTTGCAGTAGTTGTCGTCACTGGCAAAATCTAGCTAGTGGTACGATAAGAGCAAAGGTGCGGGGCGAATAATTTTATTGTCTCTGTATTTCTGTATCTGTAAGTTGCACTGGAAAATGATTGTTGTCAATAAATGGGAATAATTTGCTTGAGAAGAGAGTATATATTGCTACTTGTCCAGTTAATGGCATTACTTGCGAACAAATTTTGATTTTTAAACTTGAAGTTAAAAAGTGACTATGAACACCTTTTAAGCTTAGCCAAACATGCCTATCTACATTATTAAAAATGTCAGCATCATTGCTCCCGGATCTAGAACAAGATCAATAAGCTAAAATCTGTAAAGCAATGATTCTATTTGACGTAGGTTTGTATTTGAACAGTTATGGTGTTTGCATCACATGCATAGGAGCTGTTCTTGATCATCGGTGTACACTCCGCTTCGACGCTTTAAAGATACGATACAACCATACCAGTCTTTTTCATTCAACAATAAAAGTGGATAAGAATCGATGTCGAAATGATCATGTTTAAAAAATTGATTCAAATGATTCAGCACATTGAAATGAAAGTGAAAAACTATGGGATACCAACTGGATTTTTGCTGTTGCGGGTGGTGGGAGCAAAAACCTAAGATTCTGAGCTTAAGGCGTGTAATATTTTATTCAGATATGGTTTGTTTATCCCTCTACCTGCCTCGTTACCTTCGCGTCAAACTTTTTTATATAGACAAAATCTCTACAATGTTTCCTTCCCTTTTCGTTGCTCCTCTATGTTCATGGCTTCCATTTTTTCTTTGCGCCCATCTCAATTCTACAATCCGTAAGCTCTCAATCTCTATCTTCTATTTGTCACTTTAGTGTATTTTTGTGGGTTTACATATTATGCTTCAGAACTCCAATCTTCTTTAATTACTTTATTTTATCCGAGTATAGCGTAAGAAATCAACACTACAGAAATCGAATGTTGAGTTCTTTTACCGAGATAATCTTTGTTCGAGAACATGTTTCTGCACATATCCCTTATTAGAGCTTATATTTCCCTAATCCCAAAAGGGCCCTCAAATTATGTTTCTAATAGGAGTTTTGTGGATACAGATCCTATTGCAATAGGATTTGAAACCGAACTTCTTTTGGTTGTAATAATACAAGTAAAAATGCACAGGAAGATATCTTTGATATATATATTTGATTAGTTTTGGTATATGCTATACGTGATAGAACTCTGGTACAACATTCGGTGCTTCTTTAACAAGTAGCTTGACTTTTATACTTTTGATGTGGGTTAAAGCTGAAGATTGAACACACACTTGCATTCGTGTTGCAGAAAAGCTTTCCTATCAGATGATAAATTTATATCTTGGTTAAATCCACTGAGCCCGGCAAAGATATACGTAAAAGAGCAAGAGAGGCATGCCCTAGCTAAATATATTATTCCCCAAGGCTTTCTCTTCATTCGTCCATTGTCATCCCGTATGACTCCATCAAAATTGATGCCTATTGGAGGACTATCTTCAGTGGAATCAGCAGCTGAGTCTGATAGAAGCATTGCTGATGCTGAGTATTCTTTGGCCAAGGCTGGAGGACATGAAGTGGAATTTAATCGTGTGAATTGTCTAGTATGGGTATTGTATGAATCTGCTAGAAGTTTTTCCCTTGCAATACAGACGATCGAATTGGCTAAAACAGGTCCCCCACTAGCAATGGCATGGAATGGAGTCGATGTGAATGCCTGGCATAAGCACGTTGCATATCAGGTATGCACACACTTTGGAATAATTGTGTGTGTAGATATATATAAGTATACATTTATGTGTGTGGAGAGAGAATGGAACTTGTGAAATATAAGTTCTGTAGCATTTACTAGTTGAATTCCCTGGTACTTGTGAGAAATGAGATAAAAGTGAGTTTAACTTAAGATTATCCTTATTTAGGTTGCAGTGTATGCTCTACTGAAAGCGGCAATTGAGGTGGAGTTATTTCTTTCTCACAAACGCAGCAACAACCCTTCTCCTGTTCTTGAGATGTAAGTCAAGGGGACATATCACAAAAACTAAATAGTCCTTGGAAAGTATTTTTTTAAAAACTCAGTCATATTTTTGTGTACCCTCATGCTTGTGGTCATTGTTAAACATTACACGATTCCATGTTACCCTTCTTTAACAGTTTAAACTTGTAGATGATATAGTTAACATGATATTAGAGCCAAGCTAAATAATTGGTTTCAAGCCTGGCCACCACCCATTTATTGCATCTGCCGTTGCAGTATGCCTTTCTTCAATGTATTGAGAAATTAAAAAAAGAACAGAAAGATTGCTGTCAAGGTCTTGAAATTTTCTTGTGTCATTTGCACCAGCCTTTCTCCAAAGACGAACTTTCTTGGATTGCAAATAGAAAGTCAGTTAAACACCAGGAACCCGAAATTGGTGCAGTGGTTTAGAATGGTCGAACTTCCACGGATAGCTGGATTATTTATCCCTTTGTTTAAGAAGTAGTCATTGGAATACGCAGGAAGGTTTGTCCATGTTATACTGTATTTCATTTGTCCCTTCCTAATTTTTCCTGCTATTGTCCATGTTATACTGTATTTCATTTGTCCCTTCCTAATTTTTCCTGCTACCTTCCTGTTAAGAAATCTAAATCTTGAATAAATTCAGTGGTATTGCAGGAACAATTATGGCTATAAGCTGTTGTGCTGCTGTTGGGAAATTGGGTTCGGCACGAATTTCTTGTCCCTTATTTTCAAATTCAATTGAAGAGGCATCGATAGAGCTTATGACTATGTCACACAGTCTAGTTCCTCTTGAGAAATTGCATCACCTAGCAACTGAGGCTGGATTTGAAGATAATTTTCTTTCCCAATTTGGAAGTAAAATTCTTCCCAGTAAGAATGTTGAAGATACTGAATTTTGGATTGGACTGATTCAGAGAAAGCTTTCTACTGCGTTACACAGAGAAAGTGTAACTTCAGGCAGGCACATTAGCAAGGTTATTCCTGTTTTTTTTATCACATTCAATTTCGCATACTTAAATCTACTAGTTAACTATGGAAAAATTTTCCTGTTTACGGAAATTTATTGTTCGCTTGAAATCTGAGGGAATACCTTCAAAATTTCTCGTCTTTCATATTTATTTGTTTCTCATATGACAACTATGATTCATTGTCTTTCGAGATATTAGCAGGTTCAAGAAAGTTGTTTGATTACTCTGGGACTTTTTGCATATCTAGGAAGAGAAACAAGATTGTTCTTGTGGAGGCACCATATAAAAGATCTTGAGGAACAAATTAAAGATTTTCTTAGGTATTAATATTTTTTATTCCAAGTTTATAATGTTTGGCTTTGAGCATATATCTTGATGTAGAAGAAGAGCTTTCATGTTCATTACAGTTATTTAGAGTGTGGTATCCCTTCCATGTTTCCTGAATTTTCAACCATATCAGAGTATCAGCTTGTAATGGAGGTCAGTCATTTATAATGCTTATCGAAACTTAAAATTTAATAAAATAAATGGCTTAAAATTGTTGTTACCAGGTAATTATCGACGAAATTGGATGGGTCAACTTTTATGCTGCATATAACTATCGTGTATTCCAAGATAGGAGAAGGTCCAAAAATCATCCTATTCAGGCAGAGCAAGAAATTATTTTGTACACCGTTTTTACTGTATGCTATGATGTGATTTGGGGATTCGCCCACTACAGCAATTCAACTCAACAAGCCTTAGATTCTAATTTGTTAGAATTTTTACTTAAGAGGTGATAAACTTTCCATTATGGCATTTCTACAATCTACATTACAGAGTTTACTAGGTTCTGAGGTTGATTTTGTGTTTTATTGTTCAGTCAGGAACTGCTATCCACATGTCTGGAGGACTTCTGGTCTGCTTATGATGGAACAGGGTATGTCGTGATGCGAACCCGGTTAGCAAGGTTGCTATTGAACTCACAGGAATTGACAATGGATCCCAAGAACGTCCAAATAATGATCAAAGTTTAGGAATCGACCCGTAAAAGTAAACCAAGCAACCGAATGTATATGAAACGAACGACCTATTAATCACACAATCTTGAAATCTCCTCCGAATTTGTGGATTTGACCCAAAGAATTAATGAATCAAACATCCCAACGATAACGGCGATGCGAAGGACCTTTTGATTACACAACCCAAAGAATCTAACCCGATAATTTGTTTGAACGCCACAAGATATTAAATCTTGATAAGTTCGGTATTTTGAAGCAAAAGCTTCGAGAGGAAAATCTCCATTCAATTCATGATAAAAGTCTTCTTTACAATAATGAAAAAATAACATATTTATACTAAATAACCTAGAATAATATTAAAAGGAAATAAATTCTAGAAAACCTAGAAATCTAGTAAAACCGGAAAATAGAGTTCTAAAATATCTAAATTACAAAAAATAAGAAATTGAACATAAATAAAACTTCTCTAGATTACATCAGACCCTCCATTTTCAAGAGGATTCGTCCTCAAATCCTGATCCAAGTTATAGCCTTAACTTTCAATCAACTCAAGCACGTGAAATGGCCCATAACCTCTCGGATGCAATTTGGATCTCTTTTGACCTCGAGCTCTCCTCTTTTGAATGTAGGCCTAATCACCATCACATAGATCAAAATGTGCTCATCTCGACTGCTTAATTTTGCAAGTTCGAAATGCTCTAAAGAAAACTCCATTTGATGAATAATCATGCATCTTCCTCTCTTTACTTAGCCCTAGCACTTGACGCAATGTCACTTCCAATGTATTTATATTGTCCTTCAGTTCATCTTCCTCAATTAACTCTCTGCATATGTAGTTCCTCCAGTGCCTTTGAAACTCCGTCGTCTCCTCAGGAATCACAAAGTCAATTTCCGATAGATAAGGGAAATCCAACCGATGTAGTACCAACTGATGTTCAATTTTTGGGATGGGTGGTATTCCAACATGATCATTTTCTGGGATTGAATCTTCGGTAACCTGCAAAACAGAATTAGCAAAGTTGGGGAGGGAAATGTTAGTTTTCTTCAACGCCCCCACAACTTCATGCTTCTCTTCATTTAAGCTCATTTCTAATTCCTCTCTCACCTCCAAAGACTCTTCGTCATTTTTCTTTTGTAGCGCCACTTCTATTTTAACCACTTCTTCATTCTCATTTTTACTCTCAGCTTCCTTTTCACTTTTCCATGACTCTACACCTTTTTCCTCACCATCAACCACCACAAAATCTTTACTTTTACTCTCGCGCTCCTTTGGACGATCAATTTGAGAATTAATAATGTCGCGAATCTCTGCCAATTCATGTTTATAATTCAACGCAACACGCTTGCTTGAGATACTACTCGCACACCTCGCAATAGGTGTTTTCTTTTCCTTCATATACTCATCCCCATAATATCTCCTAGGCTTCTCCCTAAATTCGATTTCTCGTTGATCCTTCCTATAATAACTTGTATCCTTTCTTCCATGCCGATTGGCTCTATTCCTCAGTTCATGTATTTCAGCATCAACCAATGCATCTTCATCAGTGCCACAACCATATCCATATGCATCACAATTTCTCATCCTAGGCTCTCGTCTCCTCACATTGAACTCCTTAACATGATCCTTATAAAATTTATTCAATTTCAAATCCAGCTTATCTAACTTATTTCCCATATCTCCAAGCATCTTTTCAAATCACCGCATCATCTTCTCCGACATTTTGAATTGATTTTGACTTGAACTCGACATATTTTTGACACTTTTTCTGACTCTTTTTTTATAACTTTTTTTTTTATACCAACATTTTTTTTGAATGGATCAAAGACTCAAATAATTGAATAATTACAAGAGCACAACGAACAATGAAAAACGCGGAACACAAAAATAAAATGACTCAACAAAAAAATAAAAATAAGATATAACCTTGATTTTGGATTCTGTGTTCTAGTACCAAATGATGCGAACCTAGTTAGCAAGATTGCTATCGAACCCACAAGAATTGACAATGGATCCCACGAACGCCCAAATAATGATCAAGGTTTAGGAATCGACCCGTAAAAGTGAACCAAGCAACCGAACGTATATGAAACGAACGACATTTTAATCACACAATCTTGAAATCTCCTCCGAATTTGTGGATTTGACCCAAAAAATTAATGAATCAAACAACCCAACGATAATGGCGATGCGAAGGACCTTTTGATTAAACAACCCAAAGAATCTAACCCGATGATTTGTTTGAACGCTACAAGATATTAAATCTTGATAAGTTTGGTATTTTGAAGTAAAAGTTTCGAGAAAAAAATCACCATTCAATTCATGATAGAAGTCTTCTTTACAATAATGAGAAAATAACCTATTTATACTAAATAACCTAGAATAATAATAAAAGGAAATAAATTTTAGGAAACCTAGAAATCTAGTAAAACCGGAAAATAGAGTCCTAAAATATCTAAATTACCAAAAATAAGAAATTGGACATAAATAAAACTTCTCTAGATCACATCATGTTGGCTTTGTTGGATTCAAACTAAAAATCTATTATGGCATGTTTGTGAAGGGGACCCAACCATTTCTCCTAAAAGCCCAGGCTTGAGGGTGATTAAATTCCACAACTACTAAACCCTAACAATACCCCACGACCCCAAATTTGACGTCCACGGCGGCCCACTCCAAAACGACCTTCGCTTTACCTGCCAGCCTTTCTTTGGCTGTCGGTATTCGGCACTTCGCTTGGGTCGCCCCTTTTGGGGATTCAAACCTGTGACGTGAATCTGCTCTGATGCCAATTGATGAGGACCCAACTATCTCTCCCAAAACCCCAGGCTTGAGGGTGATTGAATCCCACAACTATTAGACATTAACCATTTCTTGTGGAGGATTTGATAAGCCTTGACAATACTAAAGACCAAAAATAAGTTAATATCTCTTTAATTATAATGTCTTGTTCTGTTTGATATTGTGCACCAAACATGCACTCAATGGATTGCAGATTAAGAGTCACATGTCTTAGATGGTACTGCAAAGTGAAAACTTTCCATTATTTTAATTTTGTTAAGCAGTGACATGCAGAAAATAGGGGAAAGAAGTGATCCTGACTTACCGCCATCATTACAAACTAAGGGAACCAAAAATTCATCTCTAATAATGGAAGCACCACAGAGGCCACCTGACTTGATGACAAGGGGAAAGCATCAAAATGAATTTATCCAGTCTCAGGTATGGATAGTAGAAGGATGACTAAGAAATATGGCGTGTTTACGAGTTTAATGACTGATTAAATATTCATTATTCAATAGAGAGATATAAACAAACATCCTCAGCAGTCAGTACATTATGTGATTATGTGTAATAACATTTTGTCATGACTGATGAACATTATGTGATTATGTGTAATAACATTTTGTCATGACTGATGACAGTGTATTTTACATTCCTTACTATAGCAAATAATTTCTCAGAGTAATTGCAATGTATGATTTCTGGAGAAAACGATAAAACACGTAAACCTTAAAAAAACAGTAGAAAGGAGAGAAGCTGAGATGTGTGCTGTAATTTCTTGATTCTAATATGTCAATCCTAGTAAGCATTTATAGGATATCTTTCCTTTTTCCCCCATTGAAGCTAGGATATTATTTGAAGATCTGATCTCAATAGATACATGTTTCCCTTTTTCTATCACTTGCTTTTTAATGAGATGGTTCAAAATAATATTGGAGCATGAAAAGACCCTAGATTCAAGATTTGTTGTCATCTATTTATGAAAAGTGTGCACGTGTGAGGGCGGTAATGAAAAAATGAATCCGTTTGCTCGTGAGGTGGTGCATTGAAGACTAAATGTTTAGAAATAATTATGTCCCCTCTCTAAGATATTAAGCTTTTAATAAGAAGGTTCAACAATAATTATCAGTACATATAGAACACTAATCAATCTGTGTTATGTCCTCACACTCTTGCATGCACCTAGGTCCGTTTCCAACTATTATAAATAATTGTTAGGAATGACAGGCCAATGCTAAAAAACTTGCTGATTTAGATTCGTCAAAGCCCATCCATCAAAATCTGCTTAGAAAATCTACAACCAAGATGGTATCTGCAAGTTTTGTAAGTTCACAATCCCCTTCTTTATTTTGGCTCATGTATAATATTCTAACGCTTGCTAAGTCAGTAATATGAATCATATCATAGGATATATGGATGGGAACTCAGATACTTTTTGTAGACATCAAGTACACTCTGCGGCTTTTTACGAAGCAATTATGTGGCTATAAGGTCACAAAAAGGGAAAAGAAGAAAATTCAAACAACACTTGCTGACATTGCCACACTCATACCAGTTACAATTTTAATGCTACTTCCAGTAAGTTAATTTCTGAGATCTGAACATGCAACTTCAGCTTTTATTTTCTCACTTTGAGGTTGGATAACTGTTTGTGCTTAACAAGGTAAAAGTTGCACGTGAAGAAAAAAGATAGATAAAAAGTGCAAGATCTAGGAATTGAATAGCAATATTTCCATTTCTATATTCTGATGATTTATTCTAATATTGTAAACAATTGAAATTACTTTTGATCATAGCTTGTTTTGACTTTTTCAAGAATATTAAAAAAAAGGGTAGAATAAGAAGAGCCACAAACGAAGTAGCTGAGCTTCATTTTCTAAAGGAATTTTGAGTTACCCTTGCATACATCACTTCTTCGTTTGAGAGATCAAAATTTCAATATTCGGTTTAGTGCTTGCAAGGACGCATTCAAATATGTTGATGACATATTCACTTAGATGAGGCCTGGTGATGCAGGGTGAATAAATCAATAATAAGTAACTTCAGCAAGAAGAGATGAGGGGAGGGAGAAGCACAAAGAAAGGGGGGAAGAAGAAGAGGGGAAAAGAACGAGGGCTGTAGCCAATTTTATTCAATCAATTCATTAGCTGCCAATTATGTAAAAATAGGTTTAAATACTAAAAATACTGAAAACCTAAAAAAAACCTGAAAGATAGGGCCAAGCCCATCACACAAGTCCATAAAATAAAATAACCCAAGTCCAACTAAGAAATAAAAGTCCAACTAAAATAATTAAATGTCGTCCAACTAAAATAATAAAACTGGGATGTCCTCATCACCTGGAGCAGCACATTGCAATATCTTTTAACTTGCACATTGGACTATTTGGAGCTTGATTTTACCGTCACTTTTTCCTCAACCGCCGATCGACCTAGTTGCTCACACTACATAAATGATTTGGGCGGACTTTTTTTAAGAGTAGAGAGAGAGAGAGAGAGAGGTCTGAGATCTTCATTGTAAATTTTTACTTCTCATTTTCTAGTAAAAACTGTAGCAGCTATAACTCTCACTGAGATTGAACCACTGCAAACGTGTTTGTACGTGCACATTTTTGCTTTCTGTTTTCTTTATATAGCCTTCAGGTTTGGGATTAAGTTTAATCCATTACATTGAAGAGAGCTTACTAATTCACCGTTCTTTATCAATTATCAGGTTTCTGCTGTAGGTCATGCAGCCATGTTAGCAGCAATCAAGAGATACGTGCCATCTTTGGTAAGTCTCATCCATTCATAATTTTGCTCTTGCGATATTTCTTTAATCTTCACCAAGTTCTTACATAGTCATCTTGTCGACTAGATTCCTTCACCCTACTCTTCTGAACGGCTCGCATTAATGAAGCAATTAAAGAGAACGAAGAAGATGGCAATTCAACAGAGCAAGAGCATAGGCTAAATTCCCTTGAAAGTTAACTAATCCAGTAGTGAAGATATTATCTACTTAACACTGTTTTGAAACAGATGTATTGTCCATTAGAACATTGTATAGTATTAAGAAATAAAATAAGTTAAAATCGTGTCGACTGTATTGTCATGTCGTATTCATGCAAATATTGTGGATTACTTATGCAGAATCTGTACTGTAAATTTCACGAGTTTAATCCTGTATATGAACTTGGGCATCTTGGTCCTTTTTTCTTTTTTAAATAAACTATTCTCAAGGCCTCAATTAGTCAATATATGTTGTACAGTTTACTCAGATAAACATATCCTTAGAACATTTATATTTTTAATTTGGAAAGTGTAATTATGTCTGCATGACTAAATTAAAAGGATTAATTCATCATCCCTTTCCCTGTATAGTTAACAAATCGAACTGTCATGTGTTGAATGGAAAAGATACATGTTGAATTCCTAGTAAAGCCATGAAGGCCCAGCCCGGCCTGTTCATTATTTCAAACTTTCACACGTTTACTCGGGCCGAGGACACTTATTGTCAGGACCAGGAAGTATTAAAACTAGCCTGGTCCGAGTCATCATGCACACTTTGGATCCGATTATCGGGCCCTGCCCGGCCCTAGAGGTCGAAAACTCTGCCAAGAAGCTCGGCCCATAACTTTTTACACTTACGGGATGTCCACAGACCACAGTTAATGTCAAGAATGCTGTTTACTATTTTCAGGTGTCATCAGATAAAACCATCACACCTATCAGCCATCAGATAAGATGAACAAGAACCACAAATTCAATTCATCAAATTACAATGCAAAATCCAATATATACAGATTCAAACTATCTTAAAAGTGCACTATTCTCATCCAAATATCCCTAAAAATGGGAATACTTCAACTCAACTCACATAATTTAGCTTCTTTCTCAGTATCCCATAATTTCAGCAACACCCCTCACAGAACTTTAAAGGGTTTTGATATTCTCAGTCTTCCCCGAGGGAGAATTCCGGCCATCGGAACTACCCGCCAGAGTGAACCGGAGACTGCAGTATCGGAAGAAGAAACAACTGAGGCTGCAGTGAATTTTGCATTTGTTAGTGTGAGTTCAGTTTACTATTAACCATCAAGTTTGATATGCTGAATTGGACAGAATAGTAAATCCAATAAATCAAACATCCATTTAATGTTTGACAAGCTGGACAGAAGAGTCGAGAAACATTTAGCATATTTCTCTCATTTAATCATGTCTAGTTCAATTCAATGTCTCAAACATCATATTAATATACACAAAAATTGTAATTGTAGTGTGACCTTGTCAAGTTTGTGTGTATTTTCCTAGTCTGTTTTGCTTCCTGATGGAACACCGGATGTGCATTATCGAACAGCCTGTGGTGGACAGAAACTTAGGGACATAATGTTGGACAACAACGTCGAATTGTATGGACCATACGTAAGCTCCTGTTCTATTTCAGTGCATCTAGCAAGGACTGGCGAAGACAATTTTTGTAGCCGATCCAACATCCAAATTTATTGAGTTCTATTTTAACGTTTCAGGCTAGACCTCTGCTAAATTGTGGGGGAGGAGGAACCTGTGGAACGTGCCTTGTTGAGGTTGTCGAAGGAAGGGAACTATTGACTCCTCGTACAGACAAAGAGAAGGAAAAATTAAAACGGGTATGGAGTTTTCTTTTTTAATACTGTCCAATCCTATACGGCATACTGCTAAATGGCTAATGAGTTAGTTTCATTTTGCAATTTCAGAATCCGAAGAATTGGAGACTGGCTTGTCAAACCACTGTTGGCAATGCAGATTCCAGAGGCCTGGTTTGTATTCCTTTTTTCACTGTCCTTTTCTATAATTTTTCCATATTTTTCATTCTTTACATTTTAAAAGTAGACCGAAAAATAAATAAATAAATAAATAAAATAAAATGAGGAAGAGTAGGCCGGGGCAACCCGACCTGCCCCGTTGTAAAACAGGTGTGGTCTGTCTGTGACCCGGGCTGCTTCAGACGTAAAGTCGAAAGATGTATAGACCTCTATGATAGTACCTGCAAGACTTGATTTACACCACTACTTTTAGTGACATTCTTTAGGATTGAACAATCAACCACAACTCTTTTGGTACAATTTTCTCATCTAGTTTAGGGTCATATGAATTTTTCCTCGATGAATTTTCATTCAAATAATTCGTTAATTTCAATTGGAAACTTTAGGTGCATATTTGGTGCACAGGACTAAGATGACTGAAAAATACCTTCCTTTGTAATAATACTTCAGGCCAACATATATAGCATGACATAAATGCTTTAACCGACATTTGTCCTCATCCATCTAAAGTTCAGAATGTTTTATCTTTTCCCTCTTAATGATGCAGGTTGTAATCCAACAACTTCCTGAATGGAAAGGGCATGATTGGGTTTATGGAAAAGAACCACCACCAGAAGATGAAACTGCCACTATTTGACATTTTAAATTACACAATCAAAAATTCTGCTTTGGATCCTGATGAGTTATTCAAATTAAATCAGATACTGCTGGTCCCCTCTTCTTGTAGAGAATACAGCAAAATCAAGATTGCAATAGATTGATCATGTTACTTCTTTCGTTGACAAAATTTGATGTAATAATTTAACTGCTTGTTTTGTATGAAGAATTAGAGGAGACTCGAGAGTATAATGAATAGGATTTTAATATATTTTTCTAATATTGTTTAGTGTTATCTAATTTTGACAAAAGTCAAAAGATATCAAAAAGGTGCCAGGAGCATCTATAGAGAATTGGGACCAAACCTTCGATTAAATGATCTTTAAGAAAGCAACATTACACCAGAAAATGGATTTACAGCAAAGAAACCATGATGAAATAAAGGAAGAAAAGCAAAAATTTCCTCTTCTTCCTTTCATTACCAAAAGAAAAGGTGAAAAAGTTTCAATTTGAACACGTTGAAATTACAAACGAAATAGTTTAAAAGTCGGTAGGTAGGGGAGCATGCTCGTGGGACATGAACACATAGGCGTAGACGAGACCGGCGAGGCCACCACCAATGAGGGGTCCAACCCAGTAAATCCAGATGCCGGAGAAGTTGCCGCTGGCCACAGCCGGTCCGAAGGAGCGGGCAGGGTTCATCGACCCACCTGAAAATGGACCGGCAGCCAAAATATTGGCACCAACAATGAAACCAATGGCTATGGGTGCAATTGTGCCCAATGAGCCCTTCTTTGGATCAGCTGCTGTCGCATACACAGTATAGACTAAAGCAAATGTGATAACAATTTCCATAACAACTCCTTCAAAGGCTCCAACACCAGCACCAACTCCATGAATTGGAATAGCCTGCATGAAATTATATATTTTGTTAGGAATCGAACTAATCGGGGTAGTTTAGCCAGAGAAATCAAGAATCGGACTATAAAAACTCTGTAAATAAAAACCGACTCGAATTTTAAAATATTATTTTGGGTGGACATACCAATCCTCCGGTTACGAATACGAGTAAATAGCATGCCACAATGGAGCCCAAAAGTTGAGCAATCCAGTAAAAGAGGCCAGTAAGTAGCGTAATTTGGCCGCCAACAGCCAAACCAAAGGTGACTGCAGGGTTTACATGGCCACCGGAGATGTTGGCTCCGATCGAGACGGCTACAAACAGAGCGAAACCATGGCAGATGGCCACAGCCACCAGCCCCGCCGGATCAAGAGCTGCGTCCGCCGTCAACTTGTCTGTCAAAGATCAAAATGTTACCAAGTGCTTGTTAACTTAAAAAAAATAAGAAAACGGTTTTAGAACTAACTGTAGGCAATGGCGGAGCCGACTCCGGCGAAAACAAAGAGCAAGGTGGAGATGAATTCAGCTACATAGGCCTTCAACGAACCAATGCTAAATGAATCATCTAATCTTCCGACAGCAATTGCAGGCATTTTGATGATTAGAAAGAAGTCTCAAGAAAATTTTCTTGACGACAAGAAGACTATGTTTTTCTGATGCACACACAAACTTCCTTCACCACACATATATAAAGAGAGGGAATACACAAGATATAATAATATTGGACTTTATTTAAATCCATTCATGGGTTTCTTTCCATGGCATATGCTTTTTTGCCTTGTTACAAGACAAAAAGGAATAATGGCCCGTTTGGCATGCTTTTAAAAGTTATGAAAATAATTTTAAGATTGTATTTGAACATGTTCAATAATTTTTTGGAAATATTTTGTCTGACTAATTAATTTTTTTTTTAAAAGAAAGTTAATCTAAAGTAATTTCACCGTAAAATTCTTTTATAGAAAGAAAAAGTAAAAGTAAACCCTAATTAAAACTCTATCCTATGTGGAAATTCTATCCCAAATTATGATCCGAAATTCCTTTTGTATATTGTTGCAATATATAATTATTTTATTTCACTTTGCAATACCAATATTAATCAATGTTATTATGCCCGTTTGGTATATACTATTATTATTATTATTATTATTATTATTATTATTATTATTATTATTTTCAAACTAATTTTTAACTATATATTTTATGATCTCTACATTTTTTTTAATCATACATTTAATTAACTTTTATCAAAATTTAGCAAATTTTTAGCTAAACCAAATAGAGTTTATAATTGGAGTGGACGAATCGATTTGACCAAAAATAAAAGAAAAAAAAAATGGTACTAATCCAACTTGAGTATAATTGAAAGTTGGAACGTAAAACCATTAAAACGACTTTAAAATTGACTGATTCACCCATAAATTGGGTGAATCAGACTAGTTTTATCGATTTATTATTAAAATAGATTGTATTTTTATTTATCTTTTTCTTCAATTCCAAATAAATTCAACTTAGCAAACATAAAATTATGGTTAGGGCTGGCATGGGATGAATTGAGTGATATTCCAATCCAAAAATGAATCAACAAGATGAATAATCTGACCCGAATCGATTTGGTTTGTCAAATTCAAAATTTTTTTACCTTAAAATCATTTTTTTGAAAAACCAAATCCCTTAAAACCGAGGTTTTCCTCCCGATCAATCCAAGCTAAACCAACTCGATTTTCGACGATTAGATGAATAATTTGCTCACTCTTAATTATTGTGGAGCGCTTTAATCAACATTATTAAATAAAAGGAATATTACAAACATCATAATAAATCCATTCACATCCAATCAATTTTGAGTTGCAATCCTAGCTGTCAGTAACATGGTTTCATAGAAATGTCTAGAGAGTGGACATAGTATTCCATGTGAAGTGGGGTGCTCTGACCCCCTCGTGAGTGATGTAAATGATTAAAAACAACGGTGATGGAGGCATGACCAACCGTGGTCCAGATACTCCGCCGACCAGATAATGAAATAGGGGATTATTTGTTAATTTATTTATTAATTTATTCAAAGTTTGTGGATCGGAATGGAAAGAGAATTATATTAAGATTTGATTTGTATTTAATTGGATTAATTAGGGTTTACTACTGGAAATTAGCCGGCTGGATAAGGATTGTAGAGCCTTGAGGGAATCTTTTGCGTAACTTTCTGGTATGACATCGATTATGAAACGTTGAACAGTCATATCCACATCACAATTTTTTTTTTTTTTTTTTTTTTTTAAATAAATTAC